GGAAAGAAAAAAGGAGAAGGAGGAGGAGGGAGTGGGTGGAGGGAATGCTAAACTTTGGGGATGCTTTCCTTGGGGAAGGGGTTTAGTGTGGTTTTTTAAAAAAACTGATGGATTTTGCGATCACTCGCATTTCTGTGGGATCTCTAGAGCGAGTAATGGGTCTCCTGACAGGTTTAGATTGATTGTCATCAATGATTGACATTAAAAAAATGATTGACATTAAAAAAAATACCGGGATGGATACTGAGCATGCATTTTGTAGTGGCATAAATCTAGTGGGAACAACAATCGTGTCAAATAAGACACAACTGCATGGAATAATGAAATAATTTGCTTCCATAGTGGGAACTACGCATCAGCCTGAATTGATTCAACAACCCGGTGTCAATGCGACTTGCAAAGTGGATTAAATGCAAGTGGGAATGAGCTATGTGGATAATGTCATTATACATTGAGTCAGTAGGTGGCAGTGGATGTAGTGGAAGTGGGTGGAAGTAAGAGTTTCCTGTTGTTTTTACATTCATGTTTAAGAGCAACAACTAAAAAACTCAATGTCCTGGCGAAAATCGCTGCCCACCTTTTATTCCTCCACCTGGAGGGAACCTTCCATTGGTTCCTATGGAGCCTTTTGCAAAATGAGGAGTGATCTTACATATGTCCTTCTTTTGTACCATTCCAGCAACAATTAAAATTGTTCTTTAAACTGGTAACCTTCTGTGTTTTGGCAGAAAATCAGGAAGGGGAAAAATCTCAATAAATTATTCCATACACCCTTTTCAGGTTTCAAAGGGTTTGGCCAGTAATATAGGTGTTCTTTTCCAACTCAGGTTCATTCCTTTTCAGATTAAAGCACTTATTACAATTCCTTGTTTATTTAAAAATAGATTAATGGGATCTCTTGTGTCCCCCCCCCCCAGACAGACTCCTTTCCCCCTGCCTTGTGTGAATCATTAAAAGCGCCACTCTTAACTGTCCTAGCTGCAAGATTAAAGATAAAAAAACAAATAAAATATTTTTGCTTTGATATAAACCAGCTGCCACATTTTAACTAAAGGTCCATTTGATATAGTTTATGTACATAGCTATACTGATAAAGATACAGAACAGGATGGATTAAAGAAAGAAAACAATTCTGGCCTTGCTTTCTTTTTTTTTAAAAAAACTTGTACTTAGTTATGGTTGTGAAAGCTGGACAGTGAAGAAAGCTAACAGGAAGAAAATTAACTCATTTGAAATGTGTGCTAGAGGAGAGTTCTTGAGATATTACTGATTGCTAAAAAGACAAATAAATGGGTCTTAGAGCAAATCAAGCTTAACTCATATTAGAAATGAAAATGTCTAAACTGAGGCTATCATACTCTGGGCATATCATGCTTGGTAAAGTGGAAGACAATAGGAAAAGAAGGAGACCATACTATAGGTGGATTGATTCAATAAAGGAAGTCATGACCCTGAGTTTGCAAGACCTGAGCAGAGCAGGTGATGCCCAAGGCTATTGAAGGTCTCTCATACACAGGGTTGGTATAAGTCAAAGTTGACTTGACGTCTAATACCACCAACTTTGTTATGATAGTAAAACCATCACTCTACACAAAAACCACCATCAAAATAGTTATAGTTTGCAGGGGAAACTGCTCCATAGAGAGCTGTTTTAGACAGCATGTCAGTGGCAGGTCCACACTGTGACTGGTAGTAGTCCTCAAAGGTTTCTGCAGTTAGAAGGAGATCTTTTCCATAACATAATAAAGGTGAAGCTTTTGTATAGCCTGTGGAACATATGTTTTGCCTGCAGAAGCAGAACTACCTTCTCCATAAAGCAATCTGAAGCTACCTGTTTCAGAAGATACTAAGAAAAGTATTATAGATGAAAACCAAGACTGGCATGAAATGGGACGGCAAACCTTTGTACAGTAAAATACTTGCCCTGCCAGGAGGTCACAACAGGTGCCCTATGAGTTGGCCTTTGGGCAAGCTGAGTACTTCTGAAGATTTCCTCCTCCATGCCAGGGACCTAATACAACTAGCCTTCACTACTATTTGTTTTCAAATATAAAATCATACAATGCAGAAACCATGAAGAACATCATGTCTCATCTGGCATGGAGGTCAGTTTGATGGGCTTCATAACTTTGTTGGTTCCCTTTAAAAAGGGAGATTCTCCCATGTAGTAACATTGGTCCTTTAGGAACAAATATATGAGAGAGCCAGCATGTGTAGTGGTTTGAACATTGGACTATGACTCTGGAGACCAAGATTTGAATCTCTGCTTAGCCATGAAAATCCACTAGATGACGTTGGGCAAATCACATTCTCTCAGCCTCAGAAGAAGACAAAGGTAAACCATCTCTGAACAAATATTGCCAAGAAAACCCCATGACAGGTTTCCCTTAGGATTACCATAAGCTGGAAATGACATGAAGGCACACAACAAAAAATATGTAACAGAATATAATTTTAGTGGAAGCAAGATACACAACAAAACTAGGTGCCAGAAGCATTGGTACAGGCATTACCTTTTGCTTTTAAAAATGTTAACAATGAAATACAATGCATCTACTCAAAAATATGCCCCATTGAATGATTAAGTGTGCATAGGATTCAATATAAAAAAAGACCATGCAAAAAAAATGGATGGTGTTAAATGTGGGAAATAAAGTGTTTTGACAAGTTCCGCAGTATTCCATCACATCTGCTTCAAAGTGTTCTTGTGCTCTGGTGGAAAGTGTCTGTCACCCAGGAGTTGTTAGTTTTAAGGGTCAGCTCTTTACTTCCCAAAACTTATTCATACTATAATAGGCATATAGCCAGATGATGGTAAAAGTCTACACTTCCTTGGGACGTTATCACACGTGGGGTCTCAAAGCGGCAAGAAAGCGACATGGAATCAATCCAAAACCATACCAGAATGGACCCCACAAGAAAGCAGCATCATTCCGGTATG